GCTTGCCACAGAAAAAAAGAATTTCTGCATCTATTGAAATAGGTCAAGAATGAGAGCGCAGCCCTCTGTACCTCATGCTTTTGGAAAGCCTTTGCCACTCAAAGGCATAGGTCTTCAGAGAGGAGGTCTGTGATTCCCAACCTCAGCACTTCCAGAATAACCGTAACCACCACTCCCTGAAGCCAGAGTCCAGCCTGCCGCCAGAGAAGAGCTCGAACAGCAGCAAGAAACATCTGTTCCCTCTAACGGCAAAACACAGGAAAGGAAACTCAACGGAAGTGTCTGAAAACGCTGGGAGTCCAGCAATCAAAGCCAGCATGGGCCCGACCAAGCGTCACCCTGCAGCGCCTTGCTGGGCACCTGGAGAAAAGGGGAGAAGCAGCATTAGCAGCAGACTTCCCCACCAGGCAGGAAAGTCTCCCCCAGCATCTGCTGACCGGCTACGGACACCGCTCCTGCAGCAACTCCTGAACTGCTGCCAGAGCAGGTTTGCCAAAAGCTCCATCGTCCAGGGAAAATTGCACCCATGACACCCGTAAGGGCGCCGTACCCTTCAGCTCGGGGGACCTCAGCTTCGCTACACCCACATGAAGATGCAGGGTACATGTTCAAGCTCATCCTCCCACTTTTCCCTATTGTATCCCCGGCCTATTGTCTGTCAAAAGGTACTGATCCTTCTTCTCTTCACAACTCCAGAACTATTATTGCTAAAAGAGGACAAGCGCGAACCCGCATGAGCCAAGCGTTTCACGGCTCAGTGAGTCGAAGGGAAACCTGAGGATTCCTGGCAGTGCCCGAGACAGCACACACCTACAGAGCAGGCTGCAAGAACCTAAACTATCCAGTGACTGAAGTTAGACTGTTAGGTCATCCGTGTAGCAGTGGTGGCTAAAATCACAATTTACACTGCTCCCATCCCAGGAGGTGCAAAGAAGCCAGCAGAAAAAAAGAGAACTCTCAGTCTAGCAAGGTGAAATATAGAAAAACAGAAGGAGAGGACAGCAGCAAAGTGATTAGGGCTAAGCACATAGAAGCACAAGAGCATAGGAAAAAAGGAAAGAGGAAGGGCATGCAACAGGAAGACACTGAGAAGAAAGAAGTCAGGAAGATAGGTGACACGTGCAGTCCGCTCGGCTGTGGGCTAGAGAAGTTTAAGTCGTAGTGTTGACAGTTCTTTAAAGCCACAGACCACAACAAATATTTAAAAACATATAAATGCAAAGAGTTAGAGTTGATGCTTCCTAAACTTGTAGCGAACTAGTTAAAAGTATGAACCAAAAGCAAGAGCCTTTGAAAATGAGTTTGTGAATAAATATGCCCTGAACTTTAAAATAATTTTTTTGCTAACCGGGAGATATTATCTATATGCTTAATAGGATACTGTTTCTTAAAGTAACAAAATCATGCAGCACCATTAATCATTTTCTGGTTTTATTTCTGATTTACTATGTGAATTTTGGATGGAAATTAAAACTCCATCAAAATATGAGAAGCCAATGTTTGACAGTATTTTTATTAGTTAACTGAAACTGTATTACATGGGAATATATAAAGCTTTCTGTAACTAAAGCATGTTGAAGAAGTCCTAAGCAGTCAATGCAAACAAGAAAAATATCCAAAAGAGGAAGCTGATTGTTTACTATTGTGTCCTTCAAAACTTTGGAACTAGTAGATTCCAGCCTAAGGCCTATCTTTTTTTTTTTTTTAAACATAGAGGAGAAAACTTTTTTTTCCAGCTCCCATTCTGATGCTATCATTTTTGAATGAATTGCAGTTTCAACCAAACAGAAATGAATAAATTTTCCTGCTTTTCCAGAAGCAGTCACAGCTTTCAGAAACTAGAGCATCCAATTTCCACAAAGGAGTACCCAATTGTATGATTGATTATAAAGCTTTGAAATAAATTGTTTACTGTTTTAATAACCTTTAATTATTTTAGTTTAAGAAACCATAGGAAATACTAGCCTCAATAAAGGCTATGGATTGAAATACATTTTTTTAATGTAAGGAAAAAAAAAAAAGTTTGTTTACCCTGGTCTGCTAAGATCTTGGCTACCCAGGAGACACAGAACCAGGAGGCTGTAAACCCTGCTGCCCCCCACAAACGGGTAACTCTTAGTTCTCAGTCCAATTTTTCCATCTTATGTTTCTGAAAACGGTGCAGTATTCTCACATTTCTCATCATGTGAATACATGAGCTTGAAAAAGACACAAAATCCTTTTTCTTATTCAAGCACTGCCACAATTCACCATGTCAGCATCTCCTGAAGGTATTTCTGCTCCAGCTTGCTAACACCAGCAACAGTTTGGGACCAAACGCGGCCTACAGCCATCGTGACACATTACTACTTGCTCAAGCAACACAGACTTCAGGATGAGTTCACGTTATCCGGCCGCTGCTTGACAGACCAGACCAGCTCCCCAGTTTGCTTTTGCATTGACATGGGTCATCCAAACAGCAGGTCACAAAACCTAAGGGACACAGCGACTCTGCAACCGGGAGAGGGGTCCAAGCTCGCTGCCCCCCTGGCCCTGCCGAAGGCCGAGTCCTGGCGTCCCTCCTGCCTCTGCTGCCTCTCCCCAGCAGCGCTCGAGAAGCCTCCAGCCCCAGCATGAAACCACCGTGCCTATGACAGACTACCGGCATAATTTACTCCCAAGCAACACCAACTGTTTGGCAAGCAGACTACTCGCTTCCTGATCCAACCTCACTTTTTAAGGGAACCCACAAGACAATTTCTGCAGTGTCACTTTGTTATACAAAGGGCACTGCGAGTCCTAAGCAGAAACCATTTTAGTAGGTCCTCCCTGCAGTCTTTTCTCTCCGATACAAAGACCAGGAGCAAAGACAAAGATAGTAAGCAAATGCGATCAGTGGAGCACAGACAGCAGCGAAGGGACCGCTGCAGGGAGCAGCAATCCCTTCACGCTCTTCAGCTGCTGCAGCGCAGCCACTTCTTAGACATTCACGAAGATCTTTATTTGGCAATAACATATACCCTAAAAGTTAAAGCTGCCTGAGTATTTGTTCACAAATCCAATTCAGTGGATTCCAGGAGGCACGTATCAGAACGGGAGATCAAACTAGATCAGCCTGCAGCAAAGGGCACGTAGCAAAGCTATCCTTGCAAGTTCGGGGCAATCTTCTTCCACGTGCAAAAAAGCAGTGAATGTTACAGAACCTCTGCACATCGTCTTTTACGGACAGGTAACCAGTGCCACAACCTCGCCGCCTTCTCCAGGGGCGAACACCATCTCGTAGGCCCTTTTCAGTCACAACTCTTTCAGGACCCACAATAATTGTCTGGTAGCTGCCCAAACTCTACACTTAATCATGGTTTAACTCTACTGATGAATATTAAAAACCCAAAGCATATTTAGTTTATACACTTCAGGTTTTTTGCCGAAATCTGGGATAAGAGACAGTCACATGCAGCATAGCGTGGACATGCTAACAGAGTGGCTATTCAGTTTAAGTGAACTGAGCAGGAAATTAAAAAAAAAAAAAAAAAAAAAAAAAAAAAAAAAAAAAAAAAAAAAAAAAAACCTTCAGAAGCCTCCACAGAGTTTATTTAGGAAGAGCAAAATTCTATCTTGTTATATTATATATATTGCTCCTGGGGTCCCTTGCAATAGCTTCAGCAAAACTTCCTTCTGATTTATAAGCAGCTTAGAAAACTGCAAACTCCTGCTTAGAAAAGATATTCTAAAAATTGCACTTCAGGTTCTATCTTTATTGTGTCAATATAAATCCAGATCAAGTTTGCCAAGTTTAAGACCTTTTTAATTAAACTATAAGCTTTGCTAACTCCCTCGAGTGACCTGAAAGTCAGCCTGGGTTCTTTCTATTCTTGCCTCAGAAGAGGAAAGATTGCAAGTAGAACTTGATCTGCACAATTATACGCAAACCAGGTCCTTCCTCTTTGAAGTTTGTTCTCAGTTATGTAATTCAACCCTATTCAACACTATGCGCAGGTATATGAAAGGCAAATTTCAGTCCTGTAATTGATGCAAGAGCTAGAGCATATCTCAACTCCAGCTCCCGTTCCAGCACCGCTAGAAGTACAATCTTATTCCTGTCTCCCAAGAGACAAATATATGTGGCCAATCGTACAGAGAAAATCTGCTGAGCCATTAAAAACCTTTGTTAGGGTTCTCATTTGCTATGACATCTATAATGGACGATAAGGGATATCGTGCTGCTATATTGAGACTAAAGCCCACCACACTGACAAGTACTGCCCCATAAATTCTTCGTGCTTTCCATGTGCCGATATCCCAGCTTGTCCCATATTTATATTTAGATTGCCATCTTTTCGGAGCATGGAATATCTTCTGCTTTGTTTCTGCACACCCTACAGCACAACCAGGCTCTGATCCACAACTCGGGCCGCTGCAGACTACAGCACTGCACTCGCTCGACCAGCCACACAACCCTTCTTTTGTTAGGGTGGCCCACCACCTGGAAGAAAGCACCTGAGCCTGTGTTACACGCTAACACCATCAAACACAAAAAAGCATCGCTCTAGCCACGACTGGCTAAAGATAAAAAACATGAAGAAACAAGCCTTGTAGGGACAGGTAACATCATTTGTAAGAACACAGAAAACATAAGCCTTATCCTACCAAACCAAAATCACTGCTTGAGTCACATAGCAACTGTGACACAGCAGCAGACATTAAAAGTTCGTTAAGCTAAAGCCTCGCTGCCATCAAAGCGCCAGAAGTAAGGTTTTATGACCCTTCATATATTTAAAAATGAGTTGACAGAAAGGGGTGACCAATGAAATACTACCAAACAAAAAGCCAATCCTGCATGTAACCAGAACTCAAGAGGACAGGACACAGCTATCACCTAAGTCCAGCATTCTGCTCTCTGCAGGATAATCCAACCCAATTTTCAAATGAGAATTGATCCACACGGCACTAGGACCCCGCAGATGGCAAATGCTGCGAGCCTGCGCCGTGGAAAACTGCACCATTTCACAACTTCAGCAATAGCTAGAGCAGCACTGCAACAAAGCCAGGCAACAACCACTCAAGGACAAGGAAGCACGCTTTATTTGTTTTGTATTTCTTACACCACAAATTTAATGATTTTCTTTTCAGCTAAAACGGAAGCTATCAAGATTACAATCGATACATCAGAAGCACTTCATTGAAAAGGTAACCATAGCAACGGACTGACAAGCAAAGGATGCTGCGTCCAAGCTACATCTGTCTGGTAGCAGGAGGAGGTTAGTCAATTTTAGCTCATCTCTATCAAAACAATTCATTCATTATTTCACAGCTGAACACCTTTCCATAGTCATCGAGTTCCAGCCATTAGCTTGTATATATCATGTAGCCTTCATTGTTTCTAATTATATTAAGAAAATGCTGGTTTAAAAATATGCCTGCTCTACTGCTCAAAGATTCAGAACGACCAGAACTGTTTATTCCTTCTGTTTCTTCTTATGTGACTTTTACCAAACCGTTGGAAAAGCTGTTATTGCGTTTTAGTATTTATACAACTGTCTTTGCTCTCTTTTCTGAGCGATTTTTATCATTCTTAACAAAGTTCTCTCCTTCGCTGCATTATGGGATTCCTGTCCAACAAGACTCCTTATCTTCTGAGCAGCGCCTAACTAAAGTTATACCTCGTACATAACAGGGCATCCGTAGCAAGGCATACGCAGTCTTTCACCAGTATGTGGTAGCGTCCTCTGTGGGTTCAAATCCCCCCCCCCAAAAAACCCACAAACAATGAGAAAGCCAGCAGAATGTTCCTCCATATAACAAGACAACCTCGCCGGAGAGTTGTATACCGAGCTACAACATAAAACTGACAATAAAGAGTCAGGGGCTCTTTCTTATTACTTTGCATCCTTTAGGTACCTTTCAAACAAACAAACAAAAAAAAACTTTGCAAACCCTTTAGGAATGGGTGCAAAAGGTGCTGCAATTCAGCTTCCACTTGGGATGTGGGTGTTTATGTTGCAATAGTGCAAGAAAATCACCAAAAGGAGATTTCCAATACTATAGCTCCTGAAACCTCCCTCCTATTCAATAAATAAATAAACTAATTGCTGCCTACCCTCCTCCAAATCATTTCATCAAAGGAACTTAAAAGTGCCTTGCATTTAATTTAGCAAGAAACCCTCCTGAGCTCCTGTGAAGTACGTCACAATTACTGTCTTAGTTTTATGTTTGAAAATTAAGGAAGAGAGAAAGAAAGGAATACATTTGTCCAAGGTCACGCGGCAAGACCTTGACAGCATCTTAAAAAAAACCCACATACATACAACACCCACATCCTATTTTAAGAGCAACCCTTTCTGGTGAAATCGATGGCCAATGTCAGAGAACTCCACTAAGCACGCTCAGCGAATCTACTGTGCTGAGCCTGAACGAACTAGGAAAACACAATGAGTTTTTGTTAACATAACGGAGGGAAAAAAAAACCAACAACAACTGCTGAGTTTCTTGAATTAGTCTGTGCAATATTAAAAAATGCAACTAATCTAAAAATGCAGGCGTTCAGATTGATGCACACTGGAGGAGCTTATCATAACTGTGAAACAAACCACAGTTCACTGGAAGTTTGTCAGCAAACCCATCTAGAAAGATTTGATTTATAATAAAGAGATTTAGAATTCATAAAGGCACTTGTCTAGCACAACTGCTCCATGCAGTAAAGAGAGGACAAGCACTAGACAGTTTAGCTTTGTGTCACAAAACAACAGTGCGTCACCGCGCTGTTTTTCATTCTAACCCAAGACTTACTGCCTCAACATAGTAAAATGATTCATTGAATAGAGAAAACACTGCACAGGCTCTCCGCTCCCAAGCACGTCTGGCCAATGTTTTGTGGAAACTTATCTGGGGGAGGCTGACACACTGGATGGCAGAGGGCACACAAGCGGAGAAGAGGGTGTACGCTGGCGTCTCTAAGAGGGAAAAGCAAGATCGTCAGAGGCAGCCTCCTCTCCGAAGGTTAGCCCTGCCCTAGAGCACTGCGAAGGAGCAAAGGAGAGGGCTGGGGGGCGGAGGAGAGGGCAGGCCTCCCCCCCGCAGAAGGGGGCGCGGGCTCTGGCCGCACCACAGCCACGCGTGAAGGCCAGGGCTCGAGACTCCCACGCCAAGTGCTGAACAGCCCCAAAGGAGAGCAGCAAAAGGCACCCGTCACCAGCAACCTCTGCCAAAGGTCTCCGACCGCAGACGCTGGGACAGGTGCACGAATTTGGAGGTACTCTCGGTAACTCCTAGCTCCTGGTAAAAAGCACTGCATCACAAATTTCACACGCTCAAGGTAACTTGCCATCGAGGACGAGAGAGTAAAGATAAATCTCTCACATATTTACTCCTCTGCGTTACTAGCGCGCAGGACCGGCTGTCCTACTGTCTCCAGCTTTTGTCTCCAGCAGACGGCCCGCGTGAGACGCGGGGGTCCCATCCACTCGCAACGCAAGCGGGGAAGAACGAGGCAGAGGAACTGCAGGGCTTGTGCTGTTAATGCAGCAGTGGCACATCTGGGACGAGGATGAAAGAAGCCTCGTAACAGTTCAGATTTGGGGGTTGTATCCTTCACGTTTACTAGAGAAAATTATCTCCTTCAAGTACAAAAGTGAACATTCTGGCCAGACAAATTAGCAGATGCCACGGGGAGAGGGCGTACGTGCACAAAATAACGAATAAACAGGAATACTCAGTATCACTGTTGTATCAAATTACAAAACTAGGCAGACGCACAGCTTTTAACACGCATCCTATGACCTCATAGCCTACAAACTGAAGTTTGCGGCACAAATAGCCTTAATTTGATCAGTCAATTGTTCAAACATGCCACTAGCTAATTAGTGCTCCATTGTGTACTTTTATGCACCTGACAGACAAAATTCTTGGCCAGAAGAGCTCTACTGTACCTTCACTAGCCTATATCAAAGGAAATATTCAGCTAGGAAAATTACTTTTTCTTGACTACCAAATAGCTATAATATTCACATGTAAATTATCCAAGTTATTAATTATCCAGCAGCTGAGTTGGTCCTGTCCCTCCTCAAATCTATTTTTCTCAGTCAAAAAGCTGACCTCTTCTTCTTGTGCAGCTTCTACTTGTGCAATTTATGTTCCTACTCAGATGCTGTTTTTTAAAATCTTCTTTTCTAATAAGATTCTGACTCAAATCTTAATTTAGATCCAAAACTTTGATGGCAAAGATGCAGGGCTAAAGATTTGTCTAACAGGTTATCCATATAAATTTTCCATTCCCCCACCATGAAAGACAAAATAGTTGTACAAGCAGTAACAGTGCACCAAAACAACCCTGCAAAGGTTTAGAAACCGCTCTCCATTTGGAAGCGAGCTTTACTCACACATAAGCTTTACTCATAAATAAGAAGCTACAGCTTGATATAAAGTTAATGTTAAAGGTTATCAGTGTAAAATGAGTTATATCTATACTATAGTAAAAAGTGAGTTTTTACAGGTTATGCATAGTGATTGTTTTTACTTTTTTTTTTTTTTTTCATACGGCGCAGATCCCTTCGCCATCCCATACGATTCCGCCATGAAACTATCTCACAACGGCCAGCATAACGAAGCCAGCTGCCATTGCTTAGATGGACTGAAGCCTTCCAGCACCACACTGAGGAAAAAGGTGAATTACACTGAAAACAAAAAGCAAAACCTGTAGCTATAAAGACCATCTGATTAAAGTGAAAGAGGACACTTTTTTTTTTTTTTCCAAAAAACATTTAATGCAAGGGTGTCCAAATACAGACAGCTCTGCATCTGTAATATTCTTCGAGGCATACCGGCCTCTCGGAGCAGCTCTCACCTGGCTTTTTACTTGCTGCTGAAAATACCCGCGTAAAACAGAATCTTTGTTTCTGCAGGTGCTCACACGCTTAGTCACTGGTCTTGCAGTGACTGCTGCAGGTACCTGTGAGGGTTTCCTCCTCCCGAAAGGCCGGAGCTGGCCAACACTGTCATGGCCATACGCACTCGAGCGGTAACAAAACAGGGCTCAGCACCTAACGGGAGCCTTGGGGGCCCCCAAAGCAGCCCCGGGGGGCTCCAAAGCAGAGGAGAGGAACAACGATTCTGTTGTGCGCACAGGGCACCGCAGCGCGGCTCTGCTCCAGCCCAGGCGGGGCTGTGCGAGCAGAGAGCAGGCGGGGGGACCCCGGCTCCGCCAGCGGGGCTCGGCCCCCCCGACGAGGGGCAACGGGAGAGCCTGGGGTCACCCCACGGGGAGGGAGAGGCAGGGCCTGGGGCCCCAC